AGTCACTCGACTCTAGTAAAACAATACAAACACTGTCTTACCTTGTTAATTGTAACATATTTCATTGTGGAATCCCCATGTGTGCATTTAATGCACATTTTACAATTTATAATCTGTTCAAATTGTCGTGAAACCAAATAAAGTTTATAAACATTGTTTGATTTTTTATTCGTACTTCATGTAACATGAACACCAAATGAACCGTATACTCATTTCACATTTTCGCTGGCGGCTCGGCATTGTTCGTTAGCTTTTCGGAAAATACAAGTCTACGGTAATTCAAGGCAGGGGTCTCCCGAAAAGGTCTTTTATTTTAAAAAATCCATACAATTTGCTTTAAAATGCAATGTTTTGACATGCTTTGTATAAACTTGGGGAAACTGCTCAAAAACACTTTTACTTCGCATTCTTCGACTGCAAAAGCGTGCAGCACATATTATTTTAGACGCTGACTTTTCTACTAGCTCCTTCTGTTCTTCTTTTTTCCCAGATTTGAATAATCCCAATCTTCGACCTTGTTAAATTTAGGAAGCTTCTCTTACCTAATTAACATTCTCACAAATCCCAGTGCTCCGTGATCATTTAAGCAAATGTTTAAATTCTTATCTTGTATTCGACAACAGGCTCTGACTAGAGCTTGCGCATATGACCTTCGACCCCCCTTCCCGCGTACTGACCCTGGCAAACGAACATTTCTGTACAGTGCTTTCATTCTTTTTAATTGCTTAGATAGCGATTGTAAGCAACTTGCTGCTTCACCATATTCCTCTTCATATACTAACGCCAAACAAAGAATTCTGCTTAAAATCTTTCTTAACAAGCTTAACCTTACTAGAATCCGAGCTCGAATTCCAAGCTCGAATCGCTGGATTCCGAGCTCGAATCCTTGGCTCGGTAAATAGGTATCCTCATCATTTTCTAGGTTTGTTAAAATGGCTTTTCATTTTAACTTGTCTCTTGCACATATAAGCTTCTTTATATTGCTTGTAATTCAAGAGACTTTTTTTTATCTGATTTTTTGTGTTGAAGTGGAGCATGCTTATCCAGGACCTCTAAAAATATTTTTTTCCAAATTTCCCACATGGCATTTGGATCTTCAGCAAAAAAAAACACACATTCCCAGTGCTGTTTCAGCAGTTCTGCAACAAGGTGTTAGAATCTTTATCTGTTTTTAGCATATCACAGTTCAGATCACCAAGTACATATATTTCTTTATTTTCATTATCAATAGCTTTAATCAATTTTTGTATCTGCGAAGCAGATATATTGCTATCGCAAACGTGACCGTACCGTACCGTAATGTTACTGTATGTTAGCACATAGCCATTCAGCGACACGCTTATATAATTTAAGCCAATCAGCGATTTGTTTACATCAATTGTTTACATCGTGCCCGCATCTAACCTGCGAACGGGCATACTTTAGCCTCGTCAGGCCTCGTGTATAAATCTTGTTTATCTTCTTTCAAAAATATCTTGATATTTTTATCAATTTATCTTGAATTGGCTGTCTTGTTTTCTCGCCATTCTACTTGCAATATTATTCCGAAGTTATTTATCAACATGGAATCTTATCCTCATCTGGTAAGTAGTCAAATACCACATATTATATATTTAAATACCAAATTTGTGCAAATATATGTCCCAGTTCGGCAAATATTTACTATACTATCTATAGTTAATATTGACGTATCTTTGGCGTAGAGTTTACATGGAATGCACTCTGGAATTTTTTTATTAATATATTACACTGTATAAAATATTGGATATTTTCGAGGATATTTTAAGCCATTTGTCAACATAGTTCACAAAAAGATTTATACAGTATTAAAAACAACCTTCTGTGACTTCTGTAATATTTTAAACAGTGAATACATAGCAGGCAATATTGCCAATTGACAATATCAAACTTATTGGACAGTTCTCAGGAGATATTGAATTAAATCCTGGTCCTGTATTTCTGTATATTGACTCTGTAACTCTGTTCAAAACAACAGTCCAACTATAAAGTCAAATGTAGTGTTAGAGCAAAGGTTGAAGATGTTATCAGTTAAAATACTTATACATTTTGGTTTTACACATTAGAGTTAATTAAACAAAATTTTTACAAACATTTTCAAATAAAAGAATCCTAACTCTCCATTACATTGTCATTTTGCTTTCTAACATAAATATTTTTCTTTAGAGATTAATACAAGAATGAAGAATAGATGTACTGGATATTGGCTGGATAATTTTGTCAGAACAACCAACTTGCAAGACAATCTTACCTAAATTCATTAGTATGGAAAATAACTTGACAGCTACAATGAATAATCATATATTATATGGTGGATTTGAACAATGGCACACAATGTACAAAACTAAACTTGTGATACCTTCAACTCAAACCGATAATCTCCCACAACACAATTGTTTTTGTGTAATATCATTAACTGTGCACAGAACTGGAATTTAATTATATACTTCACTCATGACCTTCAAAACATTCTCGATTATTCGGTGGTCTTCGACATGTTCACAAAATATTTTGTGTATGTTACTCAACAGTTAACATTGGCAAGTGTAAACAACAAGTGACATAACTTTTGCTTCATATGATTACAATAAACTTTTGAAAATTTGATGAGTATGGCTTGAATTGGCTGGTGACAGTTTACTAAATAGCCGGCTGTATAGACACTTTGAATATTGTTTGCATTAATTTTTTATTTCCTGACTGCATAATTATCTGTTACAATCATAATCACATTATAAAGTTAGTTAAATTTTCTCGGTGCAGGGGTGGGGTGGGGGAGCACTTGCCTTGCCACCCTCCCCTCTGTGTACAGCCCTGTTTTAAATCTTATCTGCTATTATAATAAATGATGAAATATTTCAATTGTCCCATGTCATCTTCATTATTCAGTTTCTTTCAAGAAAATACAAAATGTGAATCAATTTTTTTCACAGATACATGTACGCGTCGCGTACCTACTTTTCAAAAAGGTTAAAGAAATCTGATGATGCACTGGGTGGTCTATAAACTGTTGTAACCAGAAACGGCTTGCTATGTGGCTTAATAATTTCAATACAAACAGTTTCTAATTCAGAGGGAACTAGATCATCTCTTATTTTATAGTTGATAGAGCTACGCAAGTAGATACAAACTCCATCACCATTTCTTGATCTATCTTTTGTAACAACATCATAACCGTCTATTATTATTATTATTATTATTATTATTAAGAAATATTTACAGAGGATAGACATTTCAGTATGAACATACTGCTATCAATATGTGTCCTCTTATCCTCTTATAAAACTACTATGCCTATGATAGGGTATAAAAACTATTAAAAACTATTAAAAGATTATACATAATATAACTAAGTTGAACTACTAGGAATAATGTTCAGAAAATATATTCACATAATAGATCAAATACAGTAAGAGTCCAATGACTTCTTAAAAACTTTAAAATCCCCTTCAGCTCTCATTGAGATCGGTAGATCATTATATATCTTTGCTGCAACATATCTAAAAGATTGTCTGGCGTATTCCTATTTGACTTTAGGTAATTTAACCAGCTTAGAATTATTCCTGGTACGTTGATTATGATTGTTTGTCTCAAAATACCCCTGAAAATTACAGCATACATCATTATCCAAACACTTTCTTACAGTTAGACATGCCTTCTTTTGTATTAATTTCTCCAACCGAGGAATATATTTTTCCCATCCAATGATTTCATTAACTCTATTTTCTATAGAGTTAAGTTTAGCAAGTTGAGTTCTTGTCAACATAGGTTTAATTGACATACTGTATGTTATTATTGGAAGAATCATCATTTCATAGATTTTAAATGCGGCTTCGGGTGTTACATATACACGCAGTTTGGATAGTAACCTCACACGGTTACTGGCTTTCTTATATGTGATATTAAAATTTTCACTAAGGGCTAAACAGGAATGAAGAGTATATCCAAGATACTTGTATGACGTAGTGAAATTAATAGAATGTCCTCTATATTTTACTTCCAAATTGCATGGTTGTATAATGAAAGTCTCTTCCCTGTGCCAAATAGCATGATCTCGGTTTTTCCTTTAAGATTTATCACCAACTCGTTTTGATAAAAAACCCGTGCAATTTCTTCCAAATCCTGAGCAAGTGCCCCCTCTATTGCCTCCACATCCTTTCCTGAGAAATATACAACAGTATCATCCACATATTTTATAACTCGGGAGTTAACTAGGTGGTCAGCCAGATCATTATACAACACAGTGAAAAGAAGGGGCCCTAAAATATATCCTTGTGGTACTCCGCTAAAAGCTGGTTCGTAAGGTGACAATTTGCGCCGATACGGACAAATTGTTGACGACAGAATAGGTAATCAGTGAACCAGAGCAACTCATTTCCCTTTATTCCATATGTCTGTAACTTTTCAAGAAGAACACCATGACTTAAGGTGTCGAAGGCCTTGCTAAGGTCTATGAACACGGCTCCAACAAGATTGCCTTTGTCCACATCCTTACGTATGTCATCAATGAACAAGGTAGCTGCTAGACTTGTAGATCGTCTTGACCGATATCCAAACTGACTCTGACAGAAGATCTTCTTTTTCAAGAAAATTTATCAGTTGTTGATGCATTGCTTTCTCTAATATCTTAGGCAAAACCGGCAGTACTGATATTGGCCAATAATTTTCTGGTTGATCGTATGAGCCAGATTTATGTATTGGCACTACCTTGGCTACTTTCCATAATGCTGGAAAACGGGCCGTCTTGACTGATAAGTTGAGGATATGGCATAAAGGTTGTGAAATATGTTCTCGGCAATCTTTCAGCATGCCCGGTCGTAAATTGTCTGCTCCATTGGCTTTGGTTCTCCTGAGTTGCTTTAATTCATTTAAAATGAATACGTTGGAGATACACTGCACCTTGAAATCATGACTTGTCCGTAATATCACTGTCGCCGGATATCTCCATACGAAATCAGTAAGTAAAATTGCATTTTCTTTGATACATCTCACAGTGTTAGTAAAGTATTTACTGAAAATGTTTGCTTTATTTTGATCGTTGTTCGCATTGGTACTTGTTGATATCATTTTTGTCTTGGTTGGAAATATGCTCTTAATTATGTTCCAGAATTTCTTTGGGTTGGTCGCATTTTGTTGAATTAGATCTTTCTGAAAAGCACTGTTGGCATACCTTAACTTGTTATTACAAGAATTTCTTAGTTTTTTGTATGAACTCCAGTGTCCTTCGTCTTTAGTCTTACATGCTTTTCTTAGCATGCGATCTCTGTCTGCCATGCTTTTTCTTATATCTGTGTTCAACTAATGGCACGGCTTACCCTTCAACTTAATCATATCTGTTATATTTGCATCAAGTTGTGTCTCGTTAAAAGCAATCAGATCAATGAACTTATTTGACATTGAAAAATTAATTTCATCTATTCTTTTAGGTAAACTAACAATATTTAGAAAAGTCATTTTAAAACCTCTTTCATTTGGAATTGAGCTGAGGGTTTTCATAAAATCGTGGCTCACATTGTTGCCTAAAAAGTCTAGTGTAGCTTCTGTTTCAACATTTCTTTCACATGACTCAGATAGATTGTCCAGTCTTTCTGGCGACCATAAGTTGGTCGAAAAAATGGTTGTCATTATGGCTTGAAGCCATGTTGGTGTTTCCCATTCTGTTTGATTTTAGGAAAGTACAAAATGCACTTCCTAAGGCTCGGTCTCCCATACGGTTTAGTTAAAGCTTGGAGCCATTTAATAAGGATTTATCTATGCAGTCATTATTGATAAAAGATATTTTATGTTTATAGCTTAAATCATGCCAATAGTTGATTATACTTATCTATCTTCTTGTTGGAAATTCTGCCATCATGTCTTCTTACCACACTAGACACAGCTATCTCCTTTGCACCAGCTTTCACTTTGTTTATCAGGATTTCCATATTTGTTGCAACTTCCTCTGGTTCTTTGCAAACAAGGTCATTCGTTCCCACATGAAGGATGACCGTGTGAAATCCATGATTTCCATCTCTTTCCAATTTCTGGTTGATCTGCTCCACAGTTGCTCCATTGTAGGAGTGGCAAGTAGCATTGGATCTCGCTGCTCTTCCAATTTTGCTTTGGGCGATGTTCTTCACCATTGAATCCCCAATTACTAGAACCGCTGAGAAGACAGGCTTTTCTCTGGTCTTTTAAATTGTAGATTCTGTTTCGGGCGGCGGTGATGGATTTCATTTTCTTTTCTTTCCTATTACAATCAACCTGGTCATGGAGAACTGAGAAGGGATTTCGATACTTATACTGGGTTACATTTGTCGTAATCTGTGAGGTATTTTGCCCAGCATTGCCAATAACTTTCTTCTTTTCCTCTATTTTTGTCCATTCATTTTGTTTGTAATCGAGGATACATTTGATGTGATTGTTATCATTAGACAATTCTTCAACTGTAATATTTAGTGCTTGAATTTCAGCCGCCATTTTTATATTTTCACTCGTCAATGTTTGTATCTTGGCTTCCTGGTCGGCTGCTCGTAATAGGGTTTGCTGCGACTCTTCTTGTTGTTTGTGTTTTATTTTGGAGATTAATTCCATTATATTTGTGATCTGTTGGTCGTGATGTGTGCAATGTTCACAGGATGAGTTTTTGCTCAGTGTGTCATTCGCGTTGTTGTTTTTGGCCACATGTTCGTTCGTCTCGCAAATGTTCTTTTGATTTTTGGCCGCATGTTCTTGGGCTGGTTTCACGGACAGAATATCTTGGACTTCAGCTGCTTTCCCTGCTTTCTTTGGCTGAGTTTTTTTGTGGAATTCCAAGGCTAAACGCTCAACATCTTCTTCCGAAATACAAGCAAGACTATTTTGGGTTCGGCAGGACATGATACAGCGTAATGAAGAAAGGAAGTAAAATTTGGCGCAGAATATCTCGAGAAATATGTTGCAAGACAACTCCAATTTTATATCAATAGGATCAGTATAGTATTAGCAACAATTTGATATATAGTTAATCCGAAACTTTTAATGTAAAAGCAAGAAAATATTAAAAATCCAGGGAGTCGAAGAGAGTAATGCTTCACGATGTAACCTGATCCGAATTTCTCTATAGAATCTCAATAACATAAATTATTGATTGTGAATGATCTGTTTGCTGTTAAAGAAAATTAATGAATTATCAACAGGTTATAAATCTGTACCTGAACGAGCGAAGTTAACTAACGTCAGTTTATTTTGTGCAGAGAATACATCACACAGGATCTGGAACTCGTGTAGTTGCATTCCTATCACAAATGCATTGCTATCACATATGCTCATTGTTATTTTTTCCCTTTCTTCCGCATTAAGTGTACCTTTTCAAGCTTTTGATTGTCTTCGTGTTCTTTCCCTTTTTCTTTTGATTGTCTTCATGTCCTTTTTCTGATCTTCAATGGCTTTGGCATCGTTTTCATTGTTATTTCTAGGCTTGCCAGACCGCAATTTTGCTGCTGCTCTTGAGAAAAACGACTTTATTTGTCAAGGTGTCAAAAATTCATTAACACTAAATCGGCGGCTCCCATCATCACTTTTTGCGTATCTCCTATCCTGAGCAACTTGTGTTGGATCTGCTTTGCGTCCAGAATGCTGGCCGATTGAAAATTTGTCATTAAGGTACTGCTTCTGGTTGTTATTGAATCGACCACCCTTTTTTGACGACTTCAATGCCCAGCCTCGTGGAAGCGTCGCGTGACTAGATGTTGTCACTACAGGACCGGCTATGAATGTCTGTACACTGGATCCTTCCATTAGCTTATTTCTGTATAACATCTGAGCCTGGTCAAGAAGGCTGTATCTTTCAGGAACGAGCTTACACTTCCCATAAAACATGTGTTCCTCAAGACTGGAGTGTCACTGGAAAGTGCAAACACATTCATCAACTGGGCAGGAAATAAGTTCATTTCCCTGTGTGATCGTCTGGTGTTCCTCTACTTCTTTTGGCTTTTCCTTTCCCTTGGTCGCAGTGGTCAAAGTACGTACATCCACAAAATCGCCGGTAGTCAATTGAGTATTTGCCAGGAGGTGATTGTGCGATAATTGATGTTGTACTATAAAGGTGAAAAAAATAAACTTTGATGATATTTTTTAGGTCTTCACAAGAGGAGCAGCTTTGATCATGTTGGTGACAACATGTGATAGACTGAAGTTCTTTATTTGGATCACTGAGTGCATACACTAAGCAATGATCAGCATCATTTGAGTTTTCTGTTATATGCACCTGCAGGGTAGAACAAAAATCAAACTATTAGTCAAGATCAATATTGAGATAACTAAAAGCTGGGCTACTGGGACTCAAGCGTGGCATAGTGGTGAGTGCACTTGCCTTTTACCAATGCGACCCGGTTTCTCCAGGTTCTCCACAAATATCAACTAAAAAATTACAATTTGATCTAGGAGATGATAATTCTCAATAGGTCTAACCTCTGCTATCTCGATCCTTTCGCCCTATAGTGCGATAAAATTTATATGTATTTATTTGTTTGCTTCTTTGTTTGTTTTTATTTATTTTTACTCCTGTCAGGCTTGACGTTTTGCGAGAGGTTCAAAATCACCATAATACGCACCTTGTAGCCTGTCTTAAGGTATTGCTTTCCTTGTTTCAACGCTTGTTCCCACCTTTCTACCCACTGTCTGTCTTGACCGCGATCACCAATTTTTTCTGCAATTGATAATAAATCATCAAAAGCTTTCGCTCCATCTGCTGTGAAATAGTCTAACCCCTGTAAGGATTTCCTTACAGTTGCAGAGCAGGACGATAATATACGCAGCATAGTAGATGGACTGAAAGGCGTAAAGTTTGTCTCCGAGCAAAACTGGCGATACTGGTCTACAATACGTTGAGAAATCATTGTTCTGATGTTTGGTGTTTCTAACACCTTTCTGTTACTTAATCGCAGATAGCGTTGGCCAAACGGTAGATCTTGAATGACGTGGGGACTTGTGAAAAAGGAAAGGATCTAATTGAGAATTGTTTATACACATTCTTGGGCTTTTTGTGATAGCCAAAGGAGCACCACGCCCATATTCAAATTTGTGGTGTCGCGCTGTTTTGATTCTATATTATGTGATACCAGGTAGGTACTTCTGGATTACTGATGATGGTACAAGGTCTGCCATTATCAAGAGCACCTGTTTTCAAGTGTCCCAACTAACAGCATTCTGATATGTTTCAGCTAATGCACTTAGATACTTTTTGTGTCCTGGTAGTTTCTGTGTTGTGCTCAATGTATTTTTGATTGACTGTGAATCTTTTAATGCCTTCCAAAGGGATCCTGGGTCTTCTGGAGAAATAACTTCTAATGAAGCCATGACTGCATCTTTTGCTTTATGGACACATACATTTTTCGTTCGTGTACTAAGGTTTTCACATTTCCTTTTTTATTGCTTCACCACATCTCTACCACTCACAGTAAGAAATTTGTTTAGCTTCAAGTGACGGTAGCTTAAGTTTTCTCTGTTCCCTTGCTTTCAGCTGACGACTCACTACTGTTCGTTCTTTCTGTATTGTATGAACTAGAATCAGATATAATGGTAAGGCATTCCATTGCTTGGCATACATCGGCGCAGTCGTCGTTTTCCTAAAAAATAAGTTAATGTTACAGACAAAAAAAAAACAATTTATGTAATTAAATAAATTGAAAACTATAAATTAGCCATAGTTATGAAAGAGTTTCATGGGCAGTAACCACTGGGGGTGTTGGGTGCGATGCCCCCCCCCCCCCGATGAGTGTAATACTGCAGTTTGGTAGGGCAATTTTAACGACACGCTTGTCACATTGGGCAAAAAATATGTAATTCAGCAAAAAATTTTACATAGTAGTTTGAAAAGTAATAATTGTAAGAAAATTTTTTTAAAAATTTATGAAAATATCTGAAAAATTGTACAAATTTCGGTAATTTAGTTAAAATGGTAAGACCGAAAATAAACCCCTCCCCTCCCGCTTGCCAGGAATTTTGGGAAAAGAAATATTACTTAGCGACTGATATGTCAACTTCCGCCACGCCCTTTTGGTCCAAATAACTTACAGGAGGTCACTGGGACAACTTTTGAGGTGAGGTTGTAGAGTCGTTGAGATTGGAGAAGAGTTATTCCACGGTCTGCTTTCATTTTCTTGGCACGGTGGGGAGCCCAGGCTGAAGGAGATATACATGTCTTTCTGGTAGTACGTCACCATCTGATTCCAAAATCCATCTCGATGACTTGGACATATCGATATTTTATTGTGACTTTCATTTACTTCAAAAATGCCAAAAAATGTTGAAAGAATACACTGTTGTACACATACTAATAACACATACTAGTTCAGATTGAATTTAAATTTGAATTGAAGCTTTATACTTTATTTTTTCTGTCCTTTTTCTGTCTGATTCGCTAAGTACGAGGTTTCGATCACATGGTACGGACCGCTCCCGGCTTTCGCGCAATTCTGAATCGCTGAAATCTCAGACCGAAATCTTTTGTTGCTAGGCTTTGTTCTACTATATTCTCCTTGACATACTGATATGTACGTCCTTGGATGATATTTTTGCCATATTTACAAACAACACAGCATTTTGAAATTTTGAACTAGCTATGTAAGTGAACTTTGAACCACCTGTATACCCTAAGAGTTGACTTAAAAATCTGCACGAGAGCATATAGATATTTTAGGTACTTAATTAATGTTATTTACCGTTTAAGTCGGCCTGTGCTGGAAAAATATTTTCCCTCAGGCTCAGGAGCGTCCCTTGATGATGTCTCGAGCCGCTTCCAAAACCGCGGGAAAATATTTTTACAGTATAACCCGGTAAATAACATGTATATATTATATTCTCTGGAAAACTTTATACGACATATCATAACACACTGAAAGTGTTAAAATTCTCTATGCTGACATACAATAAATTATAATTTTGTTGCATTTTTCTATGTTGACATTGTTTATTTCAAGCAATCGCTATTGTCTGCACGGAATTTCAATTGCAACTGCGGTTTGAACAATGTAAATATATTCTTATATTCTATACACTCTGTGACAAGTATAAAGTATTTTCTAGCTGAACTTTTAACACACACTAACAAGGTAGCAGGAGTATATTAACCGAATGTTATGATAAAGACAACAAAGGTTTGCTGCTTACCTGCTCTGGCTAGAAGAAGATCTGCCTCCATCTTCAAAGCTGAATCATAACAGTTAAAATACTTCAAATGACTTTTGACATCTTTCTTACAAATTGCTATTGTTATGCATGTAGCATTAGCAGGATTAGAAGAACTGCTACCGCACGAACCACCGACAAAGAGAGAGTAACTACACGACGCCATATCTGAATTAGACCGGCTATATATAGAATAGTGCAATGTACAATTTGAGTAGCTTCAAGCATTTAAAAATATTGCTAGAGGTTTAATGTTAAGAGTAATTTCACAAAAAATTATCAGGAATCGCTAACACAATGTTATTGAATATAGTTAGACCTCAGTTAAAGCAAATAATTTTCACGGGAAGTTGATTTAATATTTTTCCTTTCGGTTGACATAGATTCATTGCATTTAGATTATGTAACTTGAAAAGCTATTTTTAACTTCGAGGCCAGTTGCGTTCGGCGTTCCCAAAACCTGTAGTTTCAATAGCCCAAAAACGTTTTTCTACTAAATTGAAGAAGAAACATTGCTCTTTTGCATGGATATGTCTTTAAACTTCAAAGCGGAGGTCCAATGAACGATTTTCCACTCTAAATTTAGCCATTTTTTGGTCTCGAAAAATTCAGTAAATTAAGTAAAAAATAAAAAATTGCTAAAATATTTGGTTTAAATGCAAATTTCATAAACGAACAAGAAAATTGTATAGAAATATTTCCTCTTTTAAATGGTTAATAAATGTTTGATAAATATTTATTTCAATTTTTAAGCAATCTGTAAACGACCTACAGTATGTGTCCTGTTAAACCAGTCTGAGAGACGTAAATATAAAAAAAATGCCGTTCGCCTAAAATAAAAATCTGATCGAACTTAAAGTTATATTTCTAGTAATAGTTTACCTGGACCTATATTCTGACAAAGTTGGAAGATTTTGAATTTTTGCATTTTGCATACCTCCAGTCGATATTTACAGATGGTGGCTCTTAAGTTAATTAAAAAGATTGCATCAAGCATCAGAGCTATATAAAACGTCCCATTTACGACCCTGCAGCATATTTTCAATTCATTACTACACATTTTAATTATTGTTGTGTTGTTTGGGATAATTGTGAGTGTGTTAACATCTTCTAGCTATGACACTGCTGCTGATTCTCTACTAGTGAAGCTTGGCTGGAGAAAACTTGATACCTAGCGCAAGTTTGAAAAAGCTGTATTGGTCTACAAATCACTTGATGGACTTGCTCCCTATTACTTGTGTCCCATGTTCATAGACTGTAACAGGGTCACAAACTATTCAGTGAGACATATTGAAGGCAAACTAGCTGTTCCAAAGCTACAGAATAACTATCTGAAGAATAGCTACAGTGGCACTGTGCTTTGGAATAGCCTTCCTATTGAGCTATGCAAAACAAAAAAATCGGGCTGCAATAGGTTTTTCATTTAAA